GGACAGGGCTGGGAGCAGCCTGGGACAGTGGGAGGTGTCCCTGCCATGGCAGGGGTGGCACAGGGTGAATTTAAGGTCCCTTCCAGCCCAAACCAGGCTGGGATTCCGTGTAGGACTGAAGCTCAGTGGTGGCACGTGCCAGCCATGGCCAGAGCCATGTGTCCCCATCCTGGCAGCCTTCCCTGAGGACTGAGGGCAGGGGGGCTCTGGGGCCTCCATGGAGAGGGAACCGAGCCTGGAGCTCTGTGGGCTCTGATCTGGTGACTTCAGGCTCGGAACAAAGCTGGTGTCTGGAACTGAAGCTGTCAGAGCTGCAGCAGACACAGGCAGAGGCTGTCAGGTAACACCTTACAGGGAGCTGTTGTCACCCCAAAAGGCCAGGCTCTCCCACCTGGCTGCTTCTGCCTTGGTGAGCCCTGAAGTGGGGTCAGCCCTTGGCCAAAATGTGCATTTTTACCCAGATCACATCTCCCACCAGTTAAAAGCAGCAGATATTTTAGTCCTTGTCCAAACACCTATTGGAGTGTGGATATGATTCCATTTTAGGGGATTTTTTTTTTTCCTAACACATTGCCTGTCCTCCCCAGGCGTCAGGAGATGTTCTGGGCTGTTTCTGTGGTTATGCAGGGTGGCACAGCTCAGCTGCTGGTGCCAGGGCAGGAGCAGCCAAACCGGGGGGCTCCCCCCACCCCACACTGGGTTTTTGGGTATTTCTTGGGGACTGGTTTGCTCTGAATCAGCCATTTCAGTCCTTGTTTCCCCGGGGCTGTGGCCCTGCTCACTCCGTCCCTGTGGGATGTCCCTTTTGGGGTCCAGCTCTGCTCCTTTGCCTTTCAGGGCTGTCCTGGCAGACGGGGGCTGGTGGGACCCAAAGGAGACAAAGTGAGTACCCACAAAAGCAGTGTCCAGTGTGGGCTGTGGGGCTGGCACCACCATGGTTTGTGTTGGTTTGGGGGTTTTTCATCCAGAGGCAGTGGGAGCTCCTGAAGCTGCAGGGCAGTGACCTGTCTGTGGGTTTGGAAGAGGAAGGAACTGGATTTAGTTAAGCCCAGGCTCAGGATTAAGCTGTGCTTGAGTTCTGGGGGGTTTTGAGCACCACAATATGAAAAATGAGTTATCAGAGAGTGTTCAGAGGAGGCCACAAGGGCAGGGTGTGGAGGGGCCCGTGAGGAGCAGCTGAGGGCACTGGGATGGTTCAGCTGGGGCAGGCTGAGGGCAGAGCTCCCCGGGGCTGCAGCTCCTCCCTGGGGCAGCTCCAGCTCTGCCCTGGGACAGGGACAGGAGCCAGGGCACGGCTGGAGCTGGGCCAGGGCAGCTCAGGCTGGAGAGCAGGAAAGGTTCTTCCCCCAGAGGTGCTGGCACTGCCCAGGCTGCCCAGGGAATGGGCACGGCCCCGAGGCTGCCAGAGCTCCAGGAGCCTTTGGCCAGCGCTGCCAGGGATGGTCAGGGTGGGATTTTGGGGGTCTGGGCAGGGACAGGGCTGGGCTGGGTGATCCCTGGTGTCCCTTCCAGCTCAGGATATTCTGTGATTCTGTGACTGAGCTGCCTGGACAAGCTGCTCCCTTCCCTTTGGGCTCTCAATGGGAGATGGAGCAGCTTCAGCTCAGCTCACCTGGAGGAGGGACACTGGTGTGTCCCAAAGCCCAGCCCCAGTTCATATCCATGAAATCACCTTGCAGGGACTGCATTTGTCCTGCAGCCCCAGGCTGCCCTCCCTGCCCAGCCCCTGGCACTGCCCTGGCTCAGAGCCTGTGCCCAGCCTGTGCTGAGGCCCAAACCCCTGCTGGTTTTAAGGAGCTGCCCTTGTCTCTGCAGGGATTCCCGGGGGCCATGGGGAGGACGGGCCCCCCAGGTGAGCCTGGCCCTGCTGGCACCCCCGGTGTGCCCACCATTGTCCTCTGGAGGAACTCCAGGGAGGACTGGCAGTCGTTCATGGTGAGTTACCACCACAGGGGACAAGTGCTGCACCCACACCTCCCCAGCAGCTCCCTGCATCCCTGGGATGGGATGGGATGGGATGGGATGGGATGGGATGGGATGGGATGGGATGGGATGGGATGGCACGGGATGGCACGAAGGGTTTGCTGTGGCTGAGGTTCCTCATTGCTGGGTGGGAGGTGCGGGCAGAGGGGACATGCCAAGGAGGGAGGTGCAGCTGACTGGGGGTGGCTCTGTGGGTGGAATGGGATCAGTGTGTGCCCTGTCCCTCTGTCCCCTGGACCCCCACGGTCCATCCATCACCTCGCTGGGATGGTTCTGCAGGACAGGGCCCAGGGAAGATCTGAGCCAGGCACGATCAGCCCTTCTCCTGCTCTGTGCTGCTGATTACAAACTCCCTGTCCTGTTTTCCACCCTGTCCCAGCTCCCTGCTGTGCCCCAGCCTTTGGCTCACAGGGTTTGTGCCCGTCCAGCTCTCTCTGAGGTGTTTTCTCACCTGACCCACGGGAGCAGGACGGGGTCTGTGGGGAGGCAGGAGTGCCTCAGGCACTGCACAGCTGCATGCAAAGCTCCATGGGATGACTCCAAAACTCACTGAACAGCCCAGCCAGGCTCCTCGAGAATTCCCAACTCCTCACAGCACAGCCACTGCTGTGATTAAGCTTAATTTTAAACTCCTTGTGGAGCCTGGCCTGGGCAGGGCAGCAGCTGAAGGCATTGGGTTTTAAGTGCCCCAGGTGCTTTTCCTGGGGCTGGGAATGCTCTTTGCTTTATCTCTGCTGTCCCTCTGGACCCTGCCGTGTGGCATGGTGCTATCAGCAGCTTCAGGGGCAGAGCAAGGGGCTGGTGAGAGCTCAGATTCACCCTCCAGCTCTCCACAATGGCCCTGGGCAGGATATTTGAGTTCTCTGGGACTCCTTCACTGGGGAAGAGCCTCAATGCATCCTCTGCTCTGGGGCAAATGCCCGGGATTCCGGGCAGAGGATGCAGGGAGGATCTCTGCTCTGCCAGCACAGCACACCCGGGTGGGGATGGTGCTGCACGAGGAGGAGGATGGTGCTCTGCTGGTCTGGGTCTGAGCTTGGATGGACCTGCTGGGAATCCTTGTGCCAGAGCTCTGTGGTTTTGGGTTGGACTGGATGGAAGCAAAGATCAGATTCCTGCTGGGAAGTGCAGGAGAGTTGATCATCTGCTGAAATTTTGCTTCACCTGGAGAACCTCCTTGTTCTCCCACCCTCCTGCTGCCCAGGGCAGGAGCCGTGCAGCTCCCAGTGCTGCCAGGATCCATTGCAGGCACACAGCGTGGGCAGGAGCAAACAGGGGGAGCACAGAGGCAGCTGGGTGTCCCCATGCCAGGGATCCCCTTCCAGCAGGGCAGGGCCCTCCCTGATGGAGTCCTTCTCTCAGGCCACGCTTACAGCACTTGGCAGAGCTGCTCCCATCCTCTGCCCTGCAGTCAGAATTCCCTTTATTTTCCCTTTGCCTGTGTTTGCAAAGAGCCCTCAGGCCTTGCCATTCCTGCAGGCAGAAGCAGCCACACCTGTGGATGATGCTGGGAGCTCCTTGGTGTCCCCACCTGGGAGTGCTGGAGGGAACATGTCCCCTCTGTGCTCGGGAACCAGGGCTGGGGTGATGCTGGCTCCTGCCTGTGGGCCCTGTGCTGTCCCCTGGCCCTGTGCTGTCCCCTGGCTCTGCTGCTGTCCCTTGTCTCCGGGCTCTAGTGATGTCCTTTGTCCCCTGGGCTCTGGGTACACTGTCCCTGTCCCCTGGCCCTGTGCTGTCCCCTCTGCTCTCTGCTATCCCCTGAGCTCTGTGCTGTCCCCTGTCCCCTGGCTCTGTGCTGTCCCCTGTCCCCTGGCTCTGTGCTGTCCCCTGTCCCCTGTGCTGTCCCCTGGCTCTGTGCTGTCCCTATCCCCTGTCCCCTGGCTCTGTCCCTGTCCCCTGTCCCCTGTGCTGTCCCCTGGCTCTGTGCTGTCCCTGTCCCCTGTCCCTGTCCCCTGGCTCTGTCCCTGTGCCCTGTCCCCTGTGCCATCCCCTGTCCCCGTGCTGGCCCTGTCCCCGTGCTGTCCCTGTCCCCTGTGCTCTGTGCTGTCCTCTGAGCTCTGTGCTGTCCCCTGGCTCTGTGCTGTCCCTGTCCCCTGTCCCCTGTGCTGTCCCCTGTCCCCTGTGCTGTCCCTGTCCCCGTGCTGGCCCTGTCCCCGCAGGGCTGGCCCGGTGCCGGTCTCAGGGGAAGGCAGTGGCTGCCGAGGGGACCCTGGGGACCCCAGAGCCACCAGGGCCATTGTGTCTGTGGCCGGTGACCCTGGCAGACACAAAGCCTGGGCTGGGATTTGCCAGTCTCAGCTGGGATACGGCCGGGGTGGGACTGGCTGCTCTGGGACGGGGCTCTGGGGCCGTGCTGCTCGCACGTGGGGATTTGGGGTGTCCTGGGTTTGCTCCTGGCTCAGCCCATGGAAATGCAGGGAGGGAAGGTGTCCCGCAGGCTCAGGGCCACGGCAGGAGGATGGGCTGGGAAAAGAAGGGATGTGCTGTGATTTATTAAAAAAATCTGGATATTGATCTAGTTCACATCTATCCAACTGTGACGGACAAAGCTCTCTAGCAGTTTAAAGTTAGAAAGTGTGTGTTTATTGTGTGTGGGATAACTCCCAAATCCACACCACAGCTTCCAGGTGATTACAGAGCCCTTTTAGCCATACAAGTATTGAATACCCAAAATACAAATGCATATTCATCATTTTGGTACATCCCATCCCTCACTTCCTATGCTAATCACTCCAAAAGCCATTCAGCATGCGTGGTTTGTTCCTTGAAATGGGTCGGTGTCCCTTTCATGGGGAGGGGTCCCAAAATGAGGAAGTCAATGAAGTCTTCCTCCTTCTGACCTTTCTACCTTTTCAATGCCAATATGATAAATGAACTCTTGGTAGAACTCCCATTCTTTGTCTTCAATTGGTTTCAGAACAGAGGAGGCCCACAATTGTCTGATGTTCCTAAAAGCTCTTTGTCAGTTTGTGTATTCTTCATTATAAACCCAGCTAACTCAACATTGTGCTGACAAGCAATCAGTTATTAGTTAACTACTAACTCCTAACTCATCAAGGCCTACTCATTTATTTTAATTAACTCTAGTAAGGCTTATTTCTAACTAAAATCTTAACTCCTCTAAAATCTCTAAATCCCTTAAAGTTTACGTTTCATGCTGGCTGTGCAGAGCAGCTGGGCTGCTGTGCTGCTCTCAGCCTCTCCCGCTCCTTTCCCCTGGAAAAAGCCTTTGTTGGTAACAGGAGAAAAGGAAAAGCAGCTCAAGGCCGCTGTGATTCCAAGCCCGTGCCTGTGTTTGTGCTCCCGATGTGCTGACAGATGTTGGCTGTGCCAAGGAGTTTATTCAGTGTGGCTGGAGGGCAGGAACTGCTGCTGGCTCGTTCTGGAGCTGGCTGCAGCAGTGGGGAAGTCCCAGAATCCTGGGCAGGAGAACTGGAGCTCCCACAGGTACTGCAGAGCTTCGTCTGCAGCACCAGGCTCCTTTCCTTTGATCCAGCCCCTTAAAAACAGCGGCCAGGCTGGGCAGTGGTGCCTGGGAAGCTCGGAGGGAAAGGAAAAACGGATTCTTGAGAAAGAGAGGGAACTTTTAGGGATGTGCTGCTACTGCAGGGTTGGCATCTGCCATGGTGGGGGTGGCACAGGGTGAGGATGGCCATGGGGTGACTGCAGAGGGTGGCACAGTGGGGGCAGCCAAAGCTGCTCTGCCAGGCCTGAGCTGCTTCCCCCAGGGCTGCTGAAGGATTCCTCTGCCCCCAAAGGTTCCTCTGCCCCAAAGGTTCCTCTGCCCCCAAAGGTTCCTCTGCCCCCAAAGGTTTCTCTGCCCCCAAAGGTTCCTCTGCCCCCAAAGGTTCCTCTGCCCCCAAAGGTTTCTCTGCCCTGCTCCCAGGAGTTCCCCAGGAGCCCAGATCCTTGCAGTTGCTGCTCCCCATCCTCCCTCCCCTCCTGTTGTGCTGCTCCCCCCTCCAGAGCTGCAGCAGCAGAGCTCCGACTGTTTCCTGCTGGAATTGCAGAGCCCATTAACTGCTCTCCCCCTCCCTGGCATCTGCTGCTCCGAAATCCGAGTGCGTGTCTCACGGGGGATTTTGTCTTCCCTCTTTTTAAAAGGTTGGATGAAATAATATCCTGTCCTGGGCAAATCGGAGTTCACCGATTCCTGAGACAAGGCAAAAGTGTTGGCTGTGCTCCAGCCTCCTCCAGAAAGGCTTTGGGAGTGGATTTTGAGGGGAATGAGAACTGGTGGACAGGAGGAGCATGGTCCTGCCAGGGGCTGCACCTTTCACCCACAGAAATCAATTTGGGAACAGCCTGAAAGGAGCAGGAATGGCATCCATCACCCGCCCCAGAGTGCTGGTCACTGCTAGGAATATTTCCATCTCTTGAAGGCTCTGGGTTGATTTGCCTTCATGAGTTCCTTGGCTTTTCCCCTCTCTCCCCACTGGTAGTGGGGGACAGATGCTTGGAGCAGTGTTGGAATCTGAGGTATTGATGATTCCCAGATTGTAGAAAGTCTCTGTCTGTCAGCCCGCTGCCAAAGCAGAAGCCATAATTGGTCTGTGCTGGTTTCCAGGTTGTTTATTCTGTTTATCTCTCACATGTTCTGCTGCCCTGCCCAGCTCTGTCCTGCAGGGCAGCGTGTGGGGCTCTGCCCTCAGTGGGATGTTACAAACATTCAATACCAGAAACTCCCTGGGCTGCATTTACAAGAACGTGCCAATATCTGTCACCTACGTTGGACAGTGTGTCCCCAGCCTGAGCCAACAGAAAAATGCCAACACCACAGTGAGACATGGAGGGCATGAAGAAGGAGAAAAAGGACAAGACACACCCAATTTCCTCCATCTTGTCCCCTTTGGACCCCTATTCTAGAATCCTAGAATTTTACTTTTGCACCCATGCCACACTTAATTATTACTGATATCAAACACTCAGAGCTGGTAATTGATCCTGTAAGATTGAAAACTCTTTTCCATGGGGAGAGATCACAGCCAGTGTCTCTGGGGGCTCTGTCCAGGGGGGTTCCTGACCCCTGCCAGGGCAGCCAGAGGGAAGCCCTGGATTCCCACAGAGCAGGGGACAGGAGGGGTTTCCCCGTGCCCTCGAGGTTGAAACTGGGGAGAACAGAGGAATGCTGCCCCTCCAGCTGCTGGGATTGGGATGCTGGATCAGGAAAGGGATTTCTGAGCCATTGATGTGAGCCAGGATTTGGAGGAGCTGCCTGTACCATAAGTTTGGGGTCACCGTGGGAAGGAGGAGGAGGAAAGATGGGGTTTGCCTCCCTGTGCTGCTGGTAGCTGGAGATGGACATTTTATTTCCTGGACACCTCCCAAAATTTGGGAAAACCTGGCTTGGAAGTGTGCAGAGAGGAGGCTGCACCAGGTGGTTTTAGGACCTTTATTTGGGGATGGGATGAACTGGTTGGGATGGGATGAATCCACCCTGGGCCTTTCAGGTGGGTTTTCTCCTCTCTGAGCTCATCTGATCTTCACAAAAATTGGACATGCATCCAAGAATTGGCTGCTGGGAGTAGCAAGAGGAAAACCTACTTGGGATCTGCTCCTCTGGGTTTTCCAGGGGCCGGAAAGAAGATTCCCCACCTGGAGCAGCCTGCAGGGTCAAACCAGCTGGTTTTAGTTTAAAATCTGGCAGTCCCTGTGCTCACCACCACCACATTTCTGGCCTTTCCATATTCCAAACATTTCTGGCTGCAGGGCATCATGGAGGAGCTGAATTTCACCAAACTCAGGAGAAATGGGTTCTCTGCCTAATTTTCTACTGAAGTAGTTCCTTATTTGCCACACCTTATCCTGAGATTGTCCTTCCTCCCATGCCTTGCATGCACAGAGTCTGAAATAAATAAACAAATTAAAGGAGTGGTTCATTGCTGCATCTTCCCAAGACAAGGAGAAAGACAGCAGAAGGGGATTTGGGATGATTTTTTTTTTAACATTTTGCTTTTCTCCCCTCATTTTTCTTCCAGCAATCATCATTTTACCAACTCCTGCACGCGGGCTGGCCGGTGAGTGCTGCTTTGGTCACATCGAGTTTGGATTTTTCCTCCTTGGCAGCTGAGTTCTCCTTGCTCCAAGCACTTGATGGGTTTTACCAATGTTTGTTTTTTGTATTTTTTTTTAATCCAGAGAAAACCTGGAGCTCCTGGGCCCCCAGGACACCCTGGGAGAACAGGAGCACCTGTAAGTACCAAAGCCCTGCTGTCCCTTTGGTGGCCTTGCTGCCACCCTGGCTGCCCTGGGGACACTTTCAGGGTGGATGTCCCCAAGCACTCGGGCTGGGGCTGCTGCTGTGCTGTAATTAGGGGCTTTGGGATTGGCTTTCAAAGCAGCCTCATGGATTTCTTGTCTGCTTCCCAGTGAAACCTGGGATGTTTGATATCCAACCCCCAGGGTTGTCCTGGCACCTGCAGCCCCTCCGCTCTGCCAGCTGAGCAGGGCTGGCTGAGGCTCCTGGGGCATCAGGTTCCAGCCCTTGTTTTTGGGGAAGGGACCATGTGGGTCCCTCCCAGAGGCACAAAAACAAGGCAGGGAAGGGCTGGGGCAGGATTTGTGTGGGGCCAGCCTGTGCTGGGGGGTCTCAGCCCCGTGCCCACGAGCTTGGCATTGCTGGGTGATGCTTCCCCCCCATCTGGCCATAAGGCAAAGGGAAAGAAGGCAAAATTCTCTGTCCTGTCCTGACAAAATTCCTTTGTCCTAAGAAATTATGAGGGGTGGGATGTGGGGGGTGCATTTTGGAGTCAAACAAAGTCCTCCTCCTCATCTCAGGGGCAGCCTTGGGAGGGTTTGTGGCTTCTGGTCGCTTTTTGGGGGACAAATCCCACTGGGGCATCTCAGGAGCAGCCCTGCAGAGCCAAACTGGTGCCCCCATTTCCAGCCCAGCCCATCCCTGTGCTGTGGGGAGGTTGTCACCTCCAGGAACACACACAATATTGTCCTAAGGCAAAATTCTCATCCCGTCAGGAGCCAAAGCAGTGGACAAATGGATCCGCTGCTGACTCCAAACCCGCCCTGGGCACGGTGGGCAGGGTGGAGGTGCCAGGGATGTGAATTCTCCCACTCTGCCCTTCCCAGGGTCACCTCTGGGCACTGCTGCTTGTCCTGGCAGCCTGCACAGGGCTGGGGCAGGGTGGGGGGACACCTTGGGTGACTCAGTCCCTGCCTGTGCACAGGGAGCCTGCGGAGCACCGGGAGAGCCGGGGCAGAAAGGCCAGCGGGGGTACACGGTGAGTGAGGGCTGGGGGGCGTGGGGACACTGGGGACAGGTTCAGGGACCTGCCCTGGGACCCTCAGCAGCCCTGCCCCTCTTGGATCAGCCCCTGCCAGCGTGAGGGAGAGCCGTGATGGGCTTGGGGACAGCTTGGGAATGGCGAGCCTGGTTTGGAGGGGTGGGGTGGCTGCCCTGTCCCCTCCCTGCTGTGCCAGCTGGGGTGGCTCTGCACAAAGTCACCCTCCTGCTGCTCCTCCTGTGCTGCAGCCGCAGGGATGGCTCTGCCACAGCTCAGCACAGCCCCTTTGGGTGCTGCACTCCTCCGGGTGACACCCCCCAGAGTCCTTCTGTCACCCTCTAGAACCCCCCAGCTCTGCAGGGGACGGGTGAGCTCTGCCTGTGCCCTCCATGGGGATCCCTCGTGGGATCCCATCTCCCCTGGGGTGCCCAGCTCGGGTCCCTGTGGGATTTAGGTGCCCTGTGGGTACCAGGAAAGGAGAGCAATGCCCCACTCTCCCACATCACTGCAGCTTTGCTCCACTCTGCTCTGCAGCCTGCCTGAATTCAGAACTGCGCCCAGCTCAATATAATATATTATATTATATATAATATAATATATTAAATAGAATAGAATAGAATAGAATATATATAATATATAATTATATTCAATTATATTAATGGAATATAATTTAGCCCAATAAAGCTTCAGCTGCTAATGGATCCTGGGTGGGTCTGCTCTGACTCCTGCACGTGGGAAAGGGACAGGAGTGGCTTTGAGACAAATTTCACTCGACCTTCTCTCACTGCATTTCTTTTCCCTGCCCTCCGTGTTGCTTCCTGCTGTGCAGCCCCTGGCTCCAGCTATCCCAGGGATTTGGAGGAGAACCTGGAAAGATCCACCTGCCCAACACTTGTAGCTCCTTGATACACAGAGCTTTTCCCCAGCTCCACAGCCAGAGGCAGGCAGAGCTCAGAGTTTCTTTATTGCTTTCATAATGTGGATATTTTAATTTTCCATGCTTGGATTTTTTCTCCCCAGGGGGAACCCGGGCTCCAGGGCTTGCCAGGACGTGTGGGATACCCTGGCTCTGATGGTTTCCCTGGCTTGGATGGCAAACCTGGGCCCTGGGGGCTGCCAGGGGAGCAGGTGAGCCAGGGAAGGCTCAGGATCAGGGGGAAGCTGGATATCCAAACCCTGGGCTGGAGACAGGGAGTTCCTGAAGCTGCCCTTCCTTCTCTTGCCTCCTTTAGAATCTTTCTCCTCAGCCCCCAAACCAGGCAGGCCTGGATTAGTGCCTCGAGGTTTAGGTTTGGCAGGAATAAAAGGGTTGTGGGGCATCCCACAGGGGCATTAAGGGGCTGGGATATCCAGAGCTGCAGCCCCTGGGTGTGGTGGGTCTGAGCAGCAGGGCTGGGCTGCTGCGCCTGGACCTCCCCGTGGAAAATAACTGCAAATCCTGGGATGGCTTGGGTTGGAAGAGACCTTTAAAATCATCTCATTTCACTCATTCCACCCCATGCCATGGGCTGGGACACCTTCCACTAGATTCCACTTGACCAGTGGCCTTGAGGGCTCAGAACTGGGAGGGTGATGAGAAAATTAGAGTAATTCCAGAATGCCTGGATCATGTCTAATCCAGGAATTTGGTTCCTTGGTGCCTGCCCTTGTCCAGAGCCTGGCAACAATCCCTGGGGAACACAGGCAACGCCCCTGGGCTCGGGAGCTTTCTCAGGGGGGTTTAGAGGACAGGGACTGGGGGTGCTGGAAAGTTTGGGGCTCTCAGCAGCTGCTGGGGAGCGGGGTGGACACGGGTGGCAGCCCCTCAGTGCCTGCCCTGCTCCTTCCTCCCCTTCCCAGGGCCTCCAGGGCTTCCAGGGTGACCGAGGGCTGGCTGGGGACAAGGGAGACGAGGTGAGTTGGCTCTTGGCCATGGGCACGATGAGGTGCCAGCCCCAGTCCCAGCAGTGCCAGCTCCAGCACGTGCTCCCGGTGCCTGGGGCATTGGGGACATCAAGGACACCTTTCATACTGGTTGCACTGGTAGCAGCAGTGCTCCTGCAGCTTTGTCAGCCAGGATGGAAAATGTCCATCAAACAGTGAATGCTGGTGGTTTGTCACCCTTTAATTTTTTTAATTTTCCATCACTTAGTCTTCTTTGGGTCAACATTTTTAGAGCTGCCCAAGAGATTTTTGGACTCCTCCAGTCTGATCATCCTAGTGGGTTTAAGACCTAATTTTTTCTTTTTGCAGCAGCAGCAGTCCCACGTGGGTTATCAGATCCCTGTTCTGGGCCACGCTTTGTGCCCTCGTGCCTGTGCAGAGCCCTGTGCCAGCCCTGTGTCACTGCTGTGGGTGACACGGTGCCCCAGGAGCTGCAGGGAGGTGACACCACGCTGGGCACCAGCAGCCAGGCTTTGCCCCATGTAGCACAACCTTGAGGGTCCCTGTTGTCCTGTCCCACCCTGATTGTGTCCTCTGAGGCACAGCAGCCCCAGTTTAACTCCTGGTGGCCCAGCTGGGGCTCATCCTTGCTCCCATTTCATCCTTGTTCCTTTGCAGGGTTTCTTGGGAGACCCTGGAGCAGCTGGGGACAAAGGAGAGAAGGGAGTGAAGGTGAGGGTGGCTGTCCCTGCCCCTCACAGCCCTGCCAGGGTGGGCAGGGGTCTCTCCTTCCCCACCACAGCCCCCCAGCCCCAGCTCTTGCTCTCCTCCATCACTCAGGCTGCTCTTGGCTTTTTCAGGGCGTGAAGGGAGAGAACGGGCTGCCAGGTCCTGCAGGGCTCCAGGTGAGTTTCCTGGGGAGCTGGAGGTGTCCCACACCCTTCCCTCCATGCCCTTTGCTGGCCTGTCCCCTGTCCCTCTCTGCGATGTCCCCAAGCCCCAGCCCACGCTCTCCTGGCTTTGGCAAAGCCCCCGTGGTCTCTGTGTGTCCCTGCCCCTCCTGTGAGGGAGGGGACAAAGGCAGTGTCACCTCAGGGTGCTGACACCTCGTTCCTGGCTTCTCTCCCAGGGGCTGGCGGGGCTGAAGGGTGCCATGGGCTTCCAGGGCCCTGCAGGGCCGGCGGTGAGTGCATTTCCCTTCTCTGTGCCCTCCCCAGAGGGGTGCAGGAGTGGGGAATTCCCACTGGGAAGAGGGGTCTGAGCAGGGATTTGCACCCAGGCACGTTGGGGCCTTGCTTCCAGCATTTCCCAGCCCTGTTCTGGCTGGGAACGAGGAGAAATGAAGAGAAATGAGCAGTTCAGAGCACACTGGGATTTATTTTAGGTGGCCACCTCCAGCTGAGATGAATCCCAGGCTGGCAGCACCTGGTTTTTCCAGCATGTGGATAACTCAGTGCTCCCACACAACTGGGAGACATCCTGTCCAGGAGAGGGTTGGAAAAGGCTTTGAAAGGAAAGCTGAAGGGGTTTGGTGCTGAATGGATGAATTCTGCAGCATGAAAGGGAGCTGGGGTTGGCCAGCAAATGTCCGAGGGGGACATCAAGCAGCTGATGTGAAGAAATGTGAAAAATGATGTGAAGGAAAAGGGGGATTTGGGCTGAAGGAGAGTGTCAAAGCAAAAAATGACTTTTTTTTTTCTCTCCTGTGCAGGGAGAAGGTGGCTCAGTGGGTCCCCCGGGCCCTGCTGGTCCCATGGTGAGTCTCAGGGTTTGGTCCAGACGGAAGCTGAGGCAGCAGAGCTGCTGCTGCCCGGAGTGCCACCTTCTTCATCCCTTGTTCTAATCCACTTGTTCTAAAATCCCTTGTTCTAAAAACGCTGCATTTGGTTAAAACCATCCCTGGCAGCTGGGAGAGGATTGCAAAAGCACCAGTGGTGTTAAAACTCGGCAGCAAAGCCCTGCGGCATCCCCGGGATGCTGAGGAGTGCCTGTGGGGCTGAGCAGGCTCTTGCCTTGCAGGGAGAGCCGGGCCAGCCGGGATCCCTGGGGTGCCGAGGCATCAATGGCTCTCAGGTGGGTGTGCCCCGCTGCCCATCCTTTGTGTCTGGGATTTTGCCGTCGCTGCTGCGCTCACCCCACCCCTGCCCTGCTCTCTCCGCAGGGGGAAATGGGCCCTCCCGGGATGGCCGGACCCCCCGGCCCCAAGGTAGGGGACCCCCGGGATGGGTGCCCGGGCTGGGAGGGATGGGTGCCAAACCCACCCCAAAGCTGGCTCGGGGCTGGGAATCCTCTCTGTAGCCCCCAGTGTGCCATAAGCTGGGAGGTCCGGGGCTCCTGAGCGCTGGGAGTTCCCAGGAGAGGTTTTGGTGCTGATGGCAGCTCCCTGTGCCCCTCTGCAGGGACCCCAGGGCTTGCAGGGCAGGCGTGGCCCCCCCGGCCCCAGGGGCTCTCAGGTGAGTGCTGCTGTCCTGGGGGGGTGCGTCCCCCCAGTTCTCCTCCAGGAGCTGCTGGGATCTGTCCCCCATGGATTTGGGCAGTGGATGTGAAATCCTTGCCCTTCGGGGTCCCTGTGGTCCCCCAGGGTGGGTGGTGTGGTATTCACATTCTCTGAACAGAGTGAGACATGATTCTCTCTCCCAGGATTTTTCCTGGGAAAAATGCAGTGAGAAAGCTCAGAGAAGGAAGAAAACAATTCTTACCTCTATTGGCTGCTGTTGCTGGCACATGTGGAATGTGTGATGGAGATTGTTCACCCAAGAGTGATTTGTTAATTGTGTGGACTGTTTGGTCAGTAGGGTCTGGGTTTTTTTCTTTAGTATCTTTTTAGTATGATATAGTTCTAGTATAGTATTAATTGAATATAATTTAGCCCAATAAAAGCAATTTATTCAGCCTTTTGCAACGTGGAGTCAGAGCACGTTCTTCCCCCTTCAAGGGTCACTGTTTCGACAGAAGGGCTGTGTCCCCTGGGGGGACATTGGCCCTGAGGTGTGAGGCAGCTCCTGGGCAGGTTCCTGTGGGCTGGGGTCTCACCTACACAGCAGGACAGGGAGCCACATCCCTCTGCTCCCAACATCTCCCTGCCTTTGCTTTTCCCAGGGTGCAGCAGGGCTGGAGGGATCCGCAGGTCCCAAAGGAGACAGAGTAAGAGCGTTTTCCTGGATCTTGCTGGGGCTGAACCCCAGCTTGGAGGGATTTCCCTGGAAGGACCTGATGTATGGGGTTGAGGGGATCCTTGTTCCCATTTTTGGAGGGGAGAGGGGGCAACACTTCCAGCTGACCTCCCAAATGCCACCTGGTCACCCTGGGGAGGGGACAGGGAGGGGCTGGGTGCTGGAATGAGAGC